CCCCAAAACCCCAAAACCCCAAAACCCCTTTTAATATCAGCATGCTTGAAAATTTTTATCGTGTGGGCCACTCTATGATTTGTTATATGATCCAAATTGCTGAGCAATCATGCCTCTGTCATCACCAGCTCTGACTGTTGGCAATATATTCTTAATATACCTATTTCCCCTGATGTGGGATCCGCTTTTGTTAAATTTCTTACGGACTAAGAATCTTGTCATGCTCCTTCTCCTAGAAGAAGACCTCCTCTTTGGCCGATGAGAATTTACAGAATTTGACCTCTTTGAATGAGGCATTAATTGAATTTTGAACTTCGAAGTTTTACTAGATTTCTGAATTCTTTCATATTTATTCTTTCTTTTGCAAGAAGCAGCCAGGACAGCTCCTGTGTCAGTATAATTATTCAAATTAGCATCTGCCATACTTTGGTTTAGCTTGATTCTACCTCCTCTATTTACGACTAAAATGTCTTGGAACTGAACGAATATTGCTCCTATTCTTGCATGTTTTACCCTGACCGTAGATGTCTCAATTCTTCTGTAATTTTATTTTCCGGATCCTTCTTCCCTTCCTTTGTATTATCTGAGCTGGAAGAGCAGTATTCGGCTGGACTAAGTCTTCATGAAATCTGCTATTTATATAACTAGTATTGTGAGTCTGCTTGCTATGATTCTGAATGTTCATCTCAGGAGTATTTCCTGGCAGCTTATAATTGACAGATGTCTTCTCATGGTCTATTATAATCTCCTTCTTAGTAACGTTTAGGTCTGCTTTTACGAAAGAATTAGTGTTAATAGGCTGTTTCAGGATCCTCTTTGGATTGCTTTGAGCACTTTTACTATAGTTGTTCCGAACAAGAATTTCGTTATTAAGTTTTAAATCCGAGTTCTTTTCACCATGGATTTTTGAAGAATTTCCTGAAGTTGAAATATGATTTTCTTGGCTAGGGTCTCTTTCCTCAGAGCCTTCTTTAATAGACTTTTCTTGTAAAGATTCCATGTTCACATGAGCGTAGTCTTTAATATTATTGTTTAAGTAAAAGCTACGGCTTGTTATAGTAGAGTTACTATAATATTATTAGCAATGACATCCGCAAAGAATTAGTTAGAATAACCTAAAGAATGCCTTACTCTGTAATGTTTAAGTGGTTATTTATAAACCTTGATCAACTTCTTTATACCATGAGAAAACTTAGGATCAAGGTACTTCTGTCTTTCCATGACTTCCATATATTTATAAATCTTGCGGAGGTGGGAGTACCATGACTCCTCATCGAAGGGATCAGCTCTCACAAAGGCGATGAGCCTATCGGAGATCATCTCCATCACTCTCAAAGTGATTTTATTATAAAATCCTTCTTGTTGCCTTGTTGCAAACCCTGAATAGATTGACATTTTAGGTATGAATTTTAAGTAAGAATATTATATTTTTGGGGTTTTGGGGTTTTGGGGTTTTGGGGTTTTGGGG